AAGAATTTCATGGACTTCTGCAGCAGAAGCTTTGAAATATCAACCTGACTTCTGCCACAGAATTGGTGTCTTTTGCACCTTCAAAAGCTTAGTGATGCTAGTGGAAAGTAAAGCAAGTTTAACACTTTGCTCTGTTGAGTACTCTCTTTTGATAGACTATGACTTGCCTTAATGGGATGGTTACACAGGAAGCTGAAGACTTCAGTGGATTTTATGAAAATTAAAAATTAAATTTTAGATATATGATGAAACCTGTGAGCCTATTTGGGGATCTGGATAAAGCATGTTCATTAGATAATCCTAAAATAAGCAGAAGTGAGCATCTCTCAAGGAGCTGTATTCTATATGTACCTGAGAAAGATAGCTTTCTGAACACAGATTTCCTCTACATGTTAACTTTAATATAGCTGAGTTTTCAAATTGGAGCTAGGCTGATCAAACAGTGGAAATAATTAATCTATTTTATGTGGAACATAGTTTGGTCAGATGGGAACTTTCATCAAGATAGTGTAAGTGCCAGATGCCTGGGGAAGAGTATAGATGGCAGGTATGTTCACTGTGATGTTTCTTCTGGTAGATGCTGTCAAAAGGTGGGAAACAGCACCTCCTGGATTTCATGAGCTCAAGGTTACATCTAGACAGAATTTGGGTTAATGGTGGACTTGTCAGTGAATTAATGGAGCCTTGCCTTGAATCTCTTTATACTTCTGACATGCAACAAGGTTTTCTATCAATCCCTATGCAATACAGAACAATACAGTAATGTTATGCTGTAGTCCCCCTTGCTTGCAATCTCCAGATTCTTTGGGCTTGTCCTTGTTTGCCTGGAAGGCTGTTTAAGATTTAAGCTGCTGCTTCTAGGTTAGGAGATCCCTACAATAAGAAAATGCAACAGGCAGAGCTGAGTTTTGTTCTAGCCCTGTCTTGTTTTGTCCATCCTCTGTTACCTGAGAGACACAGTAGGGTAGCATTCAGAAAAATAAAATGAAGCTAGCTTTAAACTGCTTTTGGGCTTGGTTTGTTTGAATATGAAAAGAAACAGGAACTTTATTCATGTTAATATATTGCGAGGTGGAAGTGAGGAGTGAACAGAAAATGTTGTTTACTAAAGGAACAGAGGTAATTGCTGCTGCAAAGCCCCAGAATGTCTGGAGAAGCAGCCTTTTTGACATCTGTCTAAATATAGCCTAGTTATGCCCAGCTATATGGAACCACAGATCAATCAGTGGTCTGTTGAGAGCGAGACCGTAGGATGTTGATATTAATGACACACTTCCCCTCAGGACAGACTTGGCTACCCTGCAGGAAGTGGGGTGAATACTCGTGTATAAAGTCAATGTTTTGACATGTCTGATCATAGACTAGGAATATTTGTCTGTAGAGACATAGAAACAAGAACCAGTAAATTACTTCATGATTTCTAACTCTTAATTTTTCAAAACTGAAAGCATTTACAAGGTTAACAAGCAGGATATTTTCCTTCAAAGATTTTCCTTTGAATAAAAATGTAGATATTAAACTTGATTTGAAACTTAATGTTACTTTTAGTGCATGCATTCTTAAAAATTAAATCCTTCATGTTTATTCTTATAGGATATTAGTTCTTGTATTAGACCTTAAACTTTAAGAGTTTTTTCTACTTTGTGCTGCTTATCCCTGAAATCTGGGGTACACATCAGGCTGCTGACTTGTGAGGGTAACTTTCATACCTTTTGTTCTTTGTCTCTCAAATTGTGCATTGTTCTTAGCTCATAACAACTATGAATACTTACTGCTTTTAAATCTTGGGAGAATATTGTGTGTTCTGTAGTGACAGCTTTTAAAATGGTATGGTGCTCCTAAACTGAGTGATGGAATTGAAGGGTGGTATGAGGAATGGGAGTTAAAATAGACCGCTGGACACTGGACTGACATGGGAGAGGCTGGGGGTTGAAGTCAGAGGAGATGGACAGGACAATGTAAGGAAAGAGGAAAGGATAAAAGATGAAACGGACATGGAAAACATGTGCTATGATGTAATTGGATAATGGAGGTGAAAGGAACGAAAACAAGCAGATTATTTGCAGCACTGTTATTAAAGTGTAGTAAGTATCTCTTCTGGATTGTGTGGCATACAACATGGGATTAGGCTAGTTTGACCAAGAAATAGTCTTTCAAAAAATACATATATTACAAAATATATGCTCAGCATGTGCAGAGGTATTTTCTTTAGCATGAAATTCCATGCTGTTAGACAAAAGTTTATTTTACTCAGGAAGACTATATTTACTTGTTGGAGCACCACAACCAACTTGCAAATATTTCAGTATACAGTTTGACTTTTACAACTGCTAAAGATAAATGTATAGTTAAGAAAGTTAGCTCTCTGTTAGTCTTTTATTGAAGTATAAGTAAATGAGAAAAAATGGATATTCACAGCAAGCCTCATGATGATGTAGAGCTTCCCTGTGCTGATATTACTTGTGGAAAGCTATATATCAACATATATCCTGTGTTCTCATAGCACTACTATTCACTGTCAGTGCTGGAAGAATATATGCTTCAGCCAGTGCTTCTGAAGCCCTTCTGAAACTGGTTCCTTCATTACTTGAATCTAATAAACTATGTTTTTTTCCAGTATGTTTACTAAAAATCTTGTTGATTGTGGGAATTACCTCTAGCACAAATGTCCAGCTATTGATAAATGGAAACGTGACTATGGGGTGAGGTAGTTACAGAGTTTACAGCATATAAATTGGAACAGCAGACTGTATGCACAGTCTCTGCTGAGAGTGATGGGCTACATCCAGTATGAATTGGCCAATATACATATTTCGCAATACTGATTTAAAAAAATCCAAATTCTCTGACAAGATCTGGTTTCTGGCATGCAGGGAATGTATTTCACTTTTTACTCCTTTTCTGTCCAGTCCACAGTTGTTTACCTTCCTGCGGAGTGGGAGGCAAGGAATTGCTCTCAGTTGTGGTGAGGCTCTAGGATAAAGAGCAGGAATCATTTGGTATCCCTCTCCTGCCCTTACTGCTAGGGGATATGGTAGAGTTGGGAACTGTCAGGGTTAGGTTAATTTTGAACTAGATGATCTTCAAGGTATTTTTCAACCTAGATAATTCTGTGACACTCTTAATATAGCATAACTGCTACTTGACCTTGCTGCCTTAAACTCAGTGTTGCCTCATACATGTTTTTTTATGCTTCAGCACTTGAGGAAGACATGTCTCCCCAGACAGACTTGGGTAATATATTTTAGCCCCTTTAAATAGAGAGCTGGACGTAGTCCCTGGGTATTGCAAACTGTGCAGTTGTTTCCTGTACTCAGGTAAAAAACGGGAAGAAAAGAAGAGGTGAGCCTTTCCTTAAGAATAATCGTTTCTCTATTGTGTTGTCTCCCTCCTATTGAAGCAGAGAATCTGCAAGGAACATGGTGTCTCCTTTCCCTGGCATTTCATGGTTTCATAGTGCTATCAGCTGAAGTCAGTTTGAACGAGCAAGAAGGAAGATGCAGTATGAACTAGGATGGTATGATATGTTGTCAGCCCGAAATTTCTGTATGATATGGTAGTCTGTGCTGTTATAATTGATAGTTATGGGCTGTTGCTGTATTGCCTGTTGCTGTTTGATAGCCTGAAAAAGGGATGTAGCACAGGGTGAGTGCACAGGTGAGAGTCATCTCTGAGAAAGAAATTTCTGAAACCTTCAGCAAAGTTGAGGTCTTTGTTTCTATCATTTCTGAGGCAATCTGAAGTTAATTTTTGTCATTTACATGGTGTCCTACGAGTATCTGATTTTAGCTATTGCTAGTAGTAGGGTTTCCTGTGTTGTATCTTGAGGAAGAAGTGCCACGATGCTGTCTGAGGTCTTCAGAATGGCAGAGCTACAGATGAAGTATTTATCTAGAGGTGTGTGTGCCTTTTCAGTGGTCATATATGGAAAGTGCTTGCATGCTTAATTTCCACAAATGGTCAGAGGGTGAGGTTTCCTGAGGTCTCAGTGAATTTAGTTCCTGGTGGAAAGAGACAGATTTGCTTCTGCTGCTTCCCTTTCTTTTGTTTCTGGCTCACCTGACCTGTTGATGAGCCAGTTTTGTTAACAATAGGCCGTAACAACAAAGCCAAAAGTAGCACAAGTACAGACTTCCCAGCTGATCTTACAAACCAAATTACCTCGTGTAGTCAGACAAAGCCAGGGATGAAAAGGCTGGGTGGGTGAGTATGAACTGTGTGACTGATTAAAGGGGTGTTGAGGAGCATGGGTTGGAATGTCAGTGGGCTATTAAGTTAGTCCTGAGGTCTGTGTTGCCCCAAAACTGAAATCCATTAGAAAGTAAAGTTGAAACAGAATAGAGATGTTAGCTAACTTTACAGCTTCCTACACAATTTGCACTAACGATGAGTTAACAACTTTTCTTTGTAAAGGTCTTTTGCCTTCTTTCTTAAAAGACCAAATATAAATGTGAATTAGTAGAATATCATGTATTTTAATATCCTCCCTTGGAAAATAAGCATAGCAGCACAGACTCTTCAGCAATGTTCATGGCTTGCATTCTAGCTATCCGTAGTGCATATGTATGAAAACTGTTTTTAAAATATTTATGATTTTATTTTGGGAAGGTAACTGTTGACTTTCAAATAGAACTCTTCTTGAGGCTCAGCTCTTGGAAGCTGTTTGTTTTAGGAATTCTGCCCATAGTAAGCACTTCAGTGTCTGGGTTTTTGTCAACAAAGAGTGAAACTGGATTTTACAAGCTGATCTCAGTGTTTGATGGAGGTCTGTGTTCAGCTGTGATGCTATTTAATTAAAATTCTAATTCCTTTCAGAAGATAACCAATTTAGCTTGTAACCAAATCACAAACCACTTGTTCAAAATTAGTTGCCTCTGTGATACCTGTTATGAAAACTTAATTTCATTTTAACAAATGGGTATAAGCTCAAAGAACTTCTTTGGGGTCAAATTTTTTTTTTCTCGAGTCTTATCTGCCAACACTAGCATAAACTGGTACTCATGACAGTAAGTACCAACATTCAAGCAAGCAGTGTATATACACAAGCAGTATTTTTTACATGCCTTATGATATCTCTCAAAATAAAAGTTACTGCAAAAGCAGCTAGTGTACTGCTTTACTGTTCTGGAGCAGTGATTGTTGGCATATACCTTGTAAGCAAACAATATTGAATTTAGTTGCACACAGATAGTGATAGTAGAAGGCATAGCTATATGCTGTAGAAGCTACGTAGTTACAGAAGGCATTAGTAAACCCAGTGTTTAGCTTAAAGCTACCAGTGGTAAAGAGACAACATTGGGAAAACATGTATGTCTGTCTTCTCTGAATGCAGCAGTGTTGAGCTTGAGTTAATTTAGCTGATAAGCATGAACTTTGATTAAAATTCACTTGTACAACATCAACACTTAGATGTTAAAGGCAGCAAATTCTTTTGTCTTCTGCATTAGCTGCCAGCTCTAGTTAACAGATTTCTTTCTTCACACCACCACCACTTTCATTTTATAACCATTGCCTCTTTTCAGCCTGTCTTGAACATGTATGCTGTCCTTAGGACATGGTTTCCTGGTGGTTTTAGTTTTGCCATGCAGCCTTCAAGCTTTGTTTTGGGTTTCTGGGTGCTTAGAGCAAGTGTTTATATGAATGGCTAAAGGGGATTATTTTTACGGTCTCAGGGTCTTTTGTTTCTGTGTTTAATCCAGCAAAACTGTTACTGCTTATGTGTCCTTTTGATTGCTGGACTGGCTTTGCAGTATCTGACTCTGGATGCTGGTGACAAACTAAAATTAGCTTGCTTACTGCTGTGGCTCCAGGGGGGTTTCCAGTTAACTAATAGTTTTCCAGAAAGACTCCAACGCTTTTGAAGTGATCTGGACTTGGAGGAGGAAGTTTTGAACTGGCTGAGCAGGAAGGGTGTATAGCATGTCCTTTAGTTTAATAGTTTTTTTGACTGGAGATTTTAGTCCAACTGTCAGTTCCTCAAGGCTAGAATAAGTGATACTAAGAGTTTAATAGGTTGTTTTGTGGAATTTGGGTCCAAACTAAAGGATATCCTGTGAGTGGTTTTAAGTTTTGGCTCCAAGATTCTGAAATGCCTTTCTCTATAATGTTGGTAGTACTGTTTAAGTAACTTTTGTAGTTTGATTGCAATAATATGTGTAAGAAAATCAAAAACAGATAGTGAAGGATGAGGCTTGAAAAACCGTGAAGGGTACATTAGAAACAAATGTGAAGTCATATGTGGAAAAGCTTATGAATGAATTCTGGGAGATGGTGTTGTAATACTAAGTTTATGCTTACCCATTTACATGTGCTGAGAGAACTCAAAGTATTAGTAATGCTTTATTTCCCTCAGTTACTTATACAAATAACACATTTCCTTTTTTAGGTTTGCAACAGCATGTAACTGACACTGTGGGTGACAAACCAGTGAATTAGTTAGCTAGTATACTATTGACCTGTAGTAGAAGGAGCACATTGCAACCTTATTAATTTTGGAAGTTTTTTACTTAATTTTAATTTGCCTGTTTCCTAGAATGTGAGGAATTTCAGAGGGAGAGTACTGCTATTTACAGCATGTGTTGAAGGTACAATCTTTGCAAAGTAATAATTACTTTTTCTCTTTTTAGGAAATACACATAAAGGAACCCATAGAAAAGGAAGTAAATCCTCATTTATTACCAGGTAGCTGTTGTATATTGTATTATTAGAATTAAATAATAAAAAAATAATCATGTAAACAATATTAAATATTCCTGTGTCCTCAGCAAACACTTATGTGACATCGGTGTCCCAGGTAGCAAAACAGAGTTTGGTGTAACAACCCACACAGCTTGAAATTTTAACTATGTATCTGCATGAGTTTTTGAAAAACTCTGTAAAATTTTCACGTTTTATGTAGTACAGTATCTTCAGTAAGTTGCATGTGGAGAACTGTCTGTATTTCAGTTTGCCCTGTTTCTTAAAAAAGAAAGTTGGGTCATTTTTTGTTGGAAGTAACAAGTAAGTAGAAGTGCATGCAAACTTACTTTCTAGTTGTGTTGTTTCTGCTATGAGTTACTTAGGCCTTCTGATGCCTAGGTAAATTTTTTTAAAAAAATCCTTTTTCTTTTTTTTAAAGTTTTTTCCAAGATCAGGAAAAATGATGTCACCAAGATAAAATGCAAGTAAAATCTTAGAATAAACTAGTATTATTCTGTTGGGTTTTCTGCACTTTATAGGAAAGACCAAGAGTCTGGATGATCATACCTATTAAAACCTGGTTTTACTTTCTTAAGCTTGAAGTTCAGTTCCTGCTAATTTTAAGATTAGAACTTCATTGACCATTGTTTATGTAAAATTGTGTTTGAGAACTTTAAAATAGCTCTGGGATCTGCAAGATAAGCAACATCTCCAGTCAAAACCATGAAACATTAACTGTGATGAACTTGTAATTATCAGCTCAGATGGTTCACTGTTCTTAGAGTTTAGCAGTAAGGAAAATTGGAACAGTTTTCAACTTACTTATTGACTGCATAAACTATTCTTTGGGTTTTGTTTTTTTGAGTATACACTTGTATGGTTGCTCTTTGCAGCTCCATGTGTTTTTCTCCTTCCCCTTAGAGCAGACCATGATACAGGTTCCTCTGGTTATGGAACTCCTAAACGTGTGCAATTGAACAGTCTATCCTGAGTAATGTTAATAACCTGGAAGGCTCTCAGTGTACTGATTCTAGGAGGTGCCTCTTAATCTTTTTGTATAACAGCGATGAAATATCTTCAGGCATACAGTTACAAAAGCTGTCAGGAAAATAATGCTGAGTTTAAGATATCACTTGAAATAATTCAATTATAAATGTCAGTTATGTTGCAAGTCAGCGTTTCTTTTATACAGGTGAACTGCTGCTTTGTGAGGCAAGCACAGTGTACAAGTATATACAAGAAGATGGGTCAAATCGTGGCACCTGTGGGAAACTTGTATGCACAAACTTCAAGATTGCTTTCCTTGATGATGATTCTACTTCAGATGATAATGTAGGAAGACAAATCTTCTAATTACGACCAAACAATCTCTGAAGACATACAGTATCTCTGATTAAATAATCATATCTTTCCCTTGTATAAGCATACAGAATGAATATAGATTTATAAAGAAATTCTAATGGGTGCAGACTAATTTTAATCAAGTGTGCATCTGCTTGGTCTGTGTAGATCCTGCCTCAAGCCCTGATGACTATTTAAAAATAGTGCAAGCCTGTATGTGAATGCATACATTAAACATAGTTTGCAACTCTTCATATCTTGTGAGTTGGTAATTTTGTGAAGCTTAAGTTAAAAGAATGACTTAGTTTGAAAATTAAATCAACAGTTTCTTGATTTCTGACTGCTTGTCTAGTAGCGTAAGTGAATGTCAAATGTACTTAAAATGCTGTATAACCTCTGTCTGACTTGACTTTGGGCAATATCTGCAGGACCATTTCAGAGCTGCACAAGGCTGAGTAAACTCGTGGAAATCCTCTAGATAATTGTGTGGCTCAGTAAAGCTCTCAGTTATTCTATTCTAAGTCGGGTGTTGACTGCAAAGATTTAAAAACCTGGTATTGTTGACTAGCAAACATTAAAAAAGCTAAAATGACCCCAAATCTTGGAAATCAGTTGAATTTTGTTTCCTTTGTTTTAGGTGCTCAAATTGAGCTGTCAAAGGGGAACAGTAATGCCACATCTCTTTTGAGATGTTTAAGCATGTGGAACTGTCTTGTTCTTTTAGGTGATAAAATTGAAGGAGAGCCTATTATATGGCTCTGAGTGCAAGGTGATCTTGACATTGAAGAATGAGAAGAATAAGACTTGACACTTGTTGATTGTAGTTGGAACCTTCTTGGGGTAAAATTTCAGAGAGTTTAAATGTTAAACTAAGGCTTCTGCAAGCTAAAATGTTTTTCTGACCTTCTGGAATTAATTGGGACAAAGCTGCAGAGCCGTTTTCACAGATCACATGAGATTAATGCTAAAGTTGGTAGAGACCATGCTAATTTGTTCCATCACTAACTTTGAATGTTGGGTTTATAGCATGACAAATCAACTGTTTATCTTAACGAAAGTTCAGTATTAGTCACCTTATTCAGAGTACTGCAGATCTGGAAATAACTTGAATGACGTTAACTCTTCTCACAGCTGCCTTAATGTAAAATGTAATTTGCTGATGTAGTGTACATCAGCTTTCTGCTAATAATATTTAAGATAATGTTTAATTGTGGTGTCAGTCAAATGTCATTTTTAACTCTGAACTCATGGAATGATAAAAGTGAAGGGAGCCCCAAATCACTTCCAAGTTTGGCAGAACAGTAGATAAGAGAATTGGGTTTTGTCTGTCTTCATTTTAGCCAGTGATAAATCTGGCTGTTACATTGGAATATTCTTGGGATACTTGTTCTTTTAAGAAACTTTCTATTTCCTGCCAGGTTCACATAGCAAGGAAACTTGTCATAAAAGGTCTTGGATTACATCAAGTTACTGTATTTCCTGTTTACTGTGATGATTCTAATTTGAAAAGTGATTCTCAGTAGAAATGCATGCTTTGAAGCTATTTGAAAAGTAAAAACTCTATCTACATTTTAAGCTTGTCTGAGACTTAAATGAAACTGGATCTGCTGTTTATAAACTATGCCTACATAACCTGCATCTATCTGTTTTAATAACTGTTCTTCAGTGTTCTGCTTTATGTAGCTTATAAGAATAAAAAGTAATGCTGATATTGAAATATGTACTGAATACATCCTTTACTTGTCACACTACTAAACAGTAGCACCTTCTCACATTTCTAATAATATTTTTCTTGTTCTAGGAGCCACAATTTAAGAATAAGATTGTAGGAGAAAATGACATAACCCTGCAATGTGTAGACCAAATCTATGGAGGTAGGTCAGCTTTCTCCTCTTGCTTTAATGTGCCTCACACACTTCTAAGTGTCTTTGTGCATGTGCTGGTGCTCTTTGTACACATACATCCTTTTAAGACTGACCGAGTTGTCACTTTGGAAACTAGGATTGAGTAGTCTAGAAAAAATATCTGTTTAACAATTGACAGATAAGAGATCTCTCAGAAGCCAGTCTTATCCTTCAGGCTTGTCAGAGCTACATTTTGATCAATTACCTTGTTGGGACAGACAAAAAACTCCTTCAAAATGCCATGGTTCAAAGCAGAGTGTACTGTGAAAAGCTTCTGGTTAGGATTGGGGCAGAAAGATCTTTCAGTATATCAACTGTTACTACAAAACCACATTGGACAGGGCTTTGAGCAACCTGATTTAGTGGAAGGTCCCTGCCCATGGCAGGGCACTTGGAACTAGATGATCTTTATGGTCTGTTTCATCCCAGACATTTCTGTGATTCTATAAATACGGTGGTATTCCCTTCATGTGAGTCATAGCACTGCAGAGCACCACAAGTACCAAATTCCTGGACAATACCTTTTGTTTGTTTAAGGGAATTTTGTTTTATGAGATTCATGATGTCTTCAAAATATCAAAGGAGATGTAAATGAAAACCTTGTTTTCTAAGTTACTCAATAAGTGTTTTGCAGCAGAGCTTACAGGTATGCCTGTATTGCTAAAAAAAAAAAGGTAAACAAGAATGGGGCTGGTAATTTCTAAATAGTGGGGAAGGCTTTATTGAGAAGTCTGACCTTGGACTAGTGTTTATGAATGGTGGTGTAGATTCATGAGGGGGTGGACTAGGGAGAGACTAGTGGAAACTGGTTATGAGACACTACTTAGTTTCATATACAATGGCCTAGCTGGCAGCGCTTGAAGTTGTGAAATGATACATCCTCAAACAGAAGTGGACAAAGTGCTCTCTTGGGGACTTCATGGTGGTTAAAAAAAGAAAAAAAATTTTATTTTTTTTTTAGGAACTTAGAATGATTTCAGTTGTTTGGGGACTTTCCCTCAGGCAAAACTACTCAATTATGTTCTTTATGCATCTTGGAACTTTCAGTTTACTATGCAGTCAGAATGTGAACAGAAATAATCACTGAGCAGCTGGCTTGCTGCAAGTTTCGTTTCTATCTTGCAAGAACTAGTTTGAGTAGGCTTGAAAAGAAAAAAGCTGAGTATATTAGCACAAGATATTGACAGCTTGTTTTAGGGTGCTTGTTTTGACTTGTTAAAACTTGAGCTTGAATTAAGTTTCTTGAATTTCGGAAAGTCAAGCAGGGATAGCTTTATCAACAGATGGCAGAGTTCTTTTTGATATCTACTTAGACTTTTCAATTTTGCAGTTTATGATGAAAAAAAGAAACTTCTAACTGGACAACTGAGAAAATACCCAGAGAAGCTAATTATCTACTGTAAAGACCTCAGAGTATTTAATTTCTGCCTGAGATACACAAAAGAAGAGGAAGTGAAAAGAGTAAGTGTAGTAACTTAATTTGTTTTCCTTTTTTAAGCTTAGTGTTAGGTGTTTAGTTGTGGAAAGGGTGAAATTCACCCTGGGAGACCCCTTAAACTTGGAGTATTTTCTAATCATTCCCAATTGAGAGAAAAAGTAAGACTTTGATTTCTAGCTAACCTTTCTCATTAGACATCATTATGTGTAGCAGTTAAAAAGATCGGATGCACTGGCTTCTTGAAGAGAATGGGAGCTGTAAACTACTACATGAAATTAACTTCAGCTCAGGCAAACTTGTAAAGCAGTTCTGTTTGTAATACATAATTTTATTAGATTTTAGACTTCAGCCTTTCTCTTGTATGATAACTTGAGTTCTTTTGACAGGTTAATCTGAACTCCAAACTAGGAGTCTACTACCTTTATTTAAATAATGAGTCATTCTGAAAGTTGAACATGTATAACACTTCTCATTAAGCCAAGTGTTTTGCAGACAGTGGAGAAAGCTTTTTAAAAGTCGGTTTTCAGCTGTTGGGGATAAACAAAACTGCTCAATGGGTTCTAAAACCTGGGGAGGAGGGTAAAAAAATCACTTTTTTTTTTTACATTGACAGGCTTAGTCTGTGTTTGGGTGTTAATTTTTGGTCCTTTCCTAGATCGTCAGTGGTATAGTTCATCATAGCCAGACTCCTAAGCTGCTTAAACGCTTGTTTCTATTTTCTTATGCATCAGCTGCCCCAAACAACACAGGTAAACATTTTTTCTATGTTTGATCTGTATTTGTTGCATACTGTTAGTTTCTTAAGCAGTCTGGGACACTTAGTAGTGGAGTTTGCTCTTGTATTATGATTCTGCCCTGCTGGCAGATAACCTCAGAAATTCATTTTTCTCCTGCTATACATTGTTAGACTTGTTGCTAAAAATCTCTAAATTGTCTACTGCTGGTTTATGTCCTTCAGTATAGTTGCACAGAAGTTTTTTGCAAGCAAATTAGCATCACTGGATTGAAAACATACTGCGATTGATATGTGCAAATGCTTTGCACGTGCTTAACTAGAAAACATTTTGCTTATTTTATCAATGCGTTTTTCTGTACTATTGCAATGAAGCAAACTTCCTGCTTTTAATTCTTAAATTATTATGTTTTCAGTGGCATCTGACAAAGTATTTCCCTTTTTGCTGTTTGCAAGCGATCTGCTTCTCCCAGGCAACAGAAAAAAAAGTATAGATTTGCACAGCAAGATTCTAGTAGACATCTGACTTACACTTATAGCTAATTTACTACATAATCTTCCCATTTGATCAAACTTGGCTGAATAATATAGTAAGATGCAAAATACAATATAAAAAGTTGTCAGTGCACTTCCTACTATTTCATGGTTCAGTCTTCAACTGAAGTAATAGCGCTGTTCTGAGTTAGGCACCTGATTCTTAGTGCACCAGGAACACCTTTTCCTTTCACAGGGGGAAGTTTTGATGCACCCAAGGTATTTATTATAAATGATAGAGTAATTTATACATCATTATAAATATATAAAGGCATTTAGCAAAGTCACCCAAGGTCATATTATCAAAATATGTCAAGGAGTTCTAATTGAGATTAGAAGAAGCCTCTGGAGATAATCTAATCATATTCTTGTCCATTTACCCCTGTTTAGAGTAGGGTTAACTACAGCAAGCTCATCAGGGTCATGTCCAGTTGGGTTTTGAGTATCTCCAAGGGTCAAGGCTCCACAACCTTTCTGGACAGCCTGTTTCAATATTTGACTGTCCTTATAGTGAAAAAACTTATTCTTACATTTAAATGGGACTTGCTGTAGTCCAGCTTGTGTGCACAGCCTTTTGTCACATCACTGGATTCCACTGAGTCTGGATCCATTTTCTTGCCTCCCTTACCCTGCTTCCACCCCCAGTCAGGTGTTTATAAACATTGGAAAGATTTCTTGCCTCTCTGTGCCCCTGCCAAGTCTTCTCTTCTCCAAGTTGAATGATCCCAGCTCTCAGTCTCTCCTCATATGAAATCCTTCAAGCCCTTTAATGACCTGTGCAAGGTTTAATTCTTGCCAGGATGAGAGAGCATGTGGCTGTTGCCCCTCCCCCACCCACGCCAGTCGGGCTGGAAGTCAAACACAGACCCCGGCCAAAATAACAAGAAATTTAATACAACAGAGTGATAGAACAATCTGAATAACAACAGTATCAATGGTAACAACAATAAACAGCAATAACAGTGAACAAGACAAAAGATATACAGAGAAATACTGCTAAATGATCAAGGAGCAAACCTGCCGCGTGTGTGGCAAAAACCAACGCCAGAAGCGAAAGGTGAAAAGGCTCTGCCCCTGGACCTGACGTCAGCATGGTATGGATAACCCGGCTGGAGATCCCTTCCCCCTCTCTCTCTGCTGGGGAAAACTTTACTCTGTTCTGGCTGAACCAGGACATAACCTTAATGGGCCTTCACTGGACTTGGTTCAGCAAGCCTGTGTGTGTCTTCTACTGGGGAGCCCAGCACTGGACACAGCACTCCGAGAATGCCCTCACCAGTGCTGAGCTGAGAAGAACAATCACCTCATTCAGCCTGCAGGCAATGGTTTTTCTAATGCAGCCCAAAAGTACACTGGGTGCCTTTGCTACAAGGGCACATTGCTGGCTCAGGTAGTTCCTGAAGGCTTCATCTGTAGCTGGTGTTCAGTTTGAACTACAAACATCAGAAGGACTGTGAGTTTTTCCAGGTAGAGACTAAGCAAATGCAGGAGAAGCCTGGTCTTTATAGCAATATTGAAGTATTGCACCAGAATTCTTTCACATTTTGATAACTGTCTTCAACAATAAATGCCTGAATCTCATTCTTTATGAAGCTGTTACAGTACAAACCAAGTAGACTTTAGAAATTGGGTTTTATGCCTCTTATGGCCGATATTCTTAAAATCTTAACTTAACCTTTAGAACTCATTATTAATGTTTTGTTTCCAGCTGTAAATTTTTCATCTACCTTACCTTCTTAGGGTGGAAAGTTTTAACTTGCCATTGTATCTTCCATGGAAATTCTAGCTCTGTTTGGTATTTCAGTATTGATGTTGCAGGATACTTAATTATGATGGGCACATAAAACAATTGACCTTATTCCATAGATTATATGATTATTATACAAGACCTGAGGCTAAATCAACTTGCTGTCATAACTGTTCTGAGGTGGCTAAATAGAAATACAGGAGAATTTCTCAGCTGAAGTGATTGAGACTGAATTGCAAAAATCAGTTTTCTGCTTTTACCAAGTGCTTGAAATGTTTTATTCGGTGCAAAACTCCTATCCATGTTAAAAGAATGAGCTTTAAATGAAAAGAAATATCTGAATTGCAGAAGAGCTTTTGGTATGATTCTTAATACTACATTTAAGCCTGTGTTATTAGATGCCAGTCAGCTGCACTAGTATACAATAGTATTTGCTGCACAGCATCCTGGATTTTAGGCTGGGTGTGAGGACAGCCTCAACTGTATGGAAGTTCTGTAAGAACTGATTAGTTTCCATAGGAGAAACTATTTCTGAAGTTATTATGAAGTATTTGACAGAAGATGTTGTTAAAGATCAGACAGAAGCAGTGTGGTGTACAAAGGCATTTTATCTTTGACTCAAGGCTTTCTGTACACAAGAGGTTTTACTTGCTTATCTAACAACTGATTTAGGAGTGTTTTCATATTAGAGTTTCTGATAGTCTGCAAAGTTAACATTATTGATGTCTGGCAGATGGAAGAAACCAAACTGTGATGTTCGATACTCTTGAGGACTGGCGTGATGAGTTGGAGCGGACCAAAGGAAATGTGAAATACAAAGCAGTGACTACCAATGAATGCTACAGAGTGTCTGAAAAGTAAGCTTGCCCTTGTTAATAGTGAACTTTGAATATACGTCTTACTAAGATTTGCAAAAATCAGTGCTACCTTTGAGCATTATACAGTTCTTTAGGGTTTTTTAGGATCTGGTTTCCATTTATGAGATGCTTTGATTTAGGACCTCAGGAGGTCATCTTACACAACTGCTGCTTAGACAGGGTTAACTTCAACATTAGGTCAGGCTACACAGGACCTTGGTCAGTCAATGTGCTGATGGAAGTTAAGTTGCAATGACTTTAGTGGAAGGTTAGAGAAATCTACCAGTTTAGCTACATAGCATCTATTGGTAAGCCCTTTAGTATGTATACAAGGCTTTGTGCTTGTTGTTTGATAATCAGATCCTGAAAGGTTTCACAGACCTTGGAAATAAACACCAATTTTCAAAGAAGTCAACTATTTATTCTGTAACTCTGTCTTGAGAAGCCCAAGCTGAGGCTAAGTACTTATCTTTGTTGCTTCTGTGGGCTTTGAACATAGCTTTGCCTTATACTGGAAATTCATGGTATATTAAATGACATTCTTGAATAGTGATGCAAACTGTTTACAAGGCATGGAAATGGAACTAGTTATCTAATACGACAAGGGTATCTTTTGAAACAACAAAGAGTGAAAGAACCAAGGTGATCTTAACAATCAGTTTTAGATGTTACAATAAATGCAGGACTTAATTGCAGCCTTGGAAAGGCAGAGGAATGTTGCAGTGAAACTAAAGAGCTGAAGATTGGAAGAAAATACCTTATCCAGCTAAAAATAAATGTAGGGTGTTGAGGACAATATAATTATCTAGTAGGAAAGATTGTTGCAGCAGTAAGAGTGAATATATAATTAGCGTGTGGGCTAGAACACTCACAGTCATTAAAAGGAGCTTGGAGGTTGTTCTTTGTTCATTTTTTAAGTGCAAGAAACTCTTTTCTTTATTATCTTAGGCTGCCTTTGTATTTTGTTGTTCCCATATGTGTTTCTGAAGAGAGTATCTTGAAGTATCAAGGCAGAGGCATTCCTGTAAGTATGTATGCATGTCTGAGGGTAAGAAATCTTACTGAGAAGACAAAATTTCAGCTATCATTTCAGATGTTACTGCATGTTATTTTCAGAACTTGTTTTTAACAGCTCACATCTTTAACTAGTCATCTGGAGAAGGGGAAACAGATGTTGGAAGGAGAAGTGCTCAAAGTATTCTGTATTCTCCTGAACAGTGTAAAGCGAAACATATATGTATGGTTCAGAGCCCCCTTTTACTTGTATCAGATGTCTAATATCCTATAGTTTACATATCCTACTAGTCTGTCTATTTATCAGCCTGTTTTTCATGAGACTGAGTACTGACTGGCATCTAGCTGGACCAGGATGTAGGGCTTGAAATGCTGTTTAGGTACTGAGGAGAAGACCATGCATGTAGAGGTATAGCTAGCTGAATACATCCAGTTACCTAGCTTGCATGCTGATAACTAGTATGGCTGTGATGATACAGCATTTTTATGAAGTAGCCCAACTGAAAAACTAGTTCTACCAGTCTTGACAGTAAATGAAGTTAATTACGCTGTTTTGTCCCCCATAACAAACTGGCTTTGGCTTGCTACCTTGTACCAGAGTTTAAGAACCACTTAAGAGGTTGCTGAATGGCCATCAAATTTGCTAAGAAAAAACATGTTCACTTCATGCTCTTAAATTAATCAGTCAATGGAGAAGATAGTGGTGTACTGTCCTGCCTAATTTGTTTTTTCAGAGAGTGAAGTTCAAAACAACTTGGTTTGGTTAATTTTTTCTCAGATACTCAACTAGACAAATTACAGTGGCTGTTACACAGAAACAGAAGTGATTTATTTTTAATTGCATCTTGCATTCATAGAATCACAGAGTGGTTTGGGTTGGAAGAGACTTTTTAAAGGTCATCTAGTCCAACTCCTCCTGCAGTGGGCAGGGACATCTTCAACAGAACCAAGTTGCTCAGACCCTCAAAGCTAACCTGACCTTAAATGTTTCCAGGTATGGGGCATCTACCACATATGTGGGCAGTGTTTCACCAACCTCATTGCAAAAAAACTTATTCTTTGTATCTAGTCTGAATCTACTCTCTTTTAGTTTAAAACCATTACCCTGTATCCTATTGCAACAGGGCCTTTCAAAAAGTCTGTCCCCAGCTTTCCTGTAGGCCCTCTTTAAGTATTGAAAGGCTGCAGTAAGGTCTTCCTGGAGCCTTTTCTTCATGCTGAATGTCCTGGTTCAGCTAGGATAGGGTTAAGTTTCCTCAGCAGTGGGGAGGGGTCTCTATACTATGCTGACTGGGAACAGCTTCCTTTGTGGCTTTTGTCCCTGAGACCACATGTGACAGTGCTGCTGTGTCTCTTGCGGTATATCTCTGTATATCTTTTGTCCTGTTTACTATTATTAGTGTTGTTGTTACTGCTATTGTTGTTCGGTTTATTATTTGTTACACTGTTGTATTAAATTTTTCCTCATCTCAACCCCAGGATTTGTATCTCACTCCCTGCCCTGTACAGTTCGAGGATGGGGGAGGGACAACGTGGAGTGGTCTCAGGTCCCGGCAGGGCTTAAACCACCACACTGAACAAGCCCAGCTCTCTCAGTCTGTCCTCACAGGAGAGGTGTTCTAGCCCCCAATCATTTTTGTGGCCTCCTCTGGACCTGCTCCAGCAGGTCCCTGTATTTCCAGTGCTGAGGGCTCCAAAGCTGGACACAGTGTTCCAGGTTGGGTCTCACGAGAGCAGAATAGAGGGGCAGAATCCCTTCCCTCAACCTGCTGCTCACACTTCTCTTGATGCAGCCCAGGATACAGTTGGCTTCTGGGCTGCAAGTGCACACTGTCAGCTCATGTCCAGCTTTTCATCCATCAGTACCCACAAGTCCTCCTTAGCGGGGCTGCTCTCCATCCCTTCATCTCCCAGCCTTTTTTGAAACTGGGGGTTGCCATAACTCATGTGCAGGACCTTGCGCTTGGCCTTGTCGAACTTCTTTGAGATTCACATGGGTCTACTTCTTGAGCTTGTCCAGGTCTTTCTGAATGGCATCCTGTCTGTCCCTCAAGTGTGTCAACTGCAGCACTCAGCTTGGTGTTGTCTGCGAATTAGCTGAGGGTGCACTCGATCCCACTGTTTGTCACTGATGAAGGTATTAAACAGTGCTGATCCCTGTATGCACCCCTGAGGGGCACCAGGGGTGCATACAGGTGTCACTGATCTCCACCTGGACATTGAGCTGTTCACCATTACCCTCTGGATGTGACCATCCAGAGAGTTCCCTCATCCACCAAGCAGTCCATCCATCAAATCCATATCTCTGCAATTTAGAAAGGATGCTGTGTGGGACTGTCAGAGGCCTTATAGAAGTCCAGATAGATGTCATCTGTAGCTCTTTCCTTGTCTGCTGTTTAGAGGCTTTGTAGAACTCTTCTAATTATTTCTAAATTCTTTTGGGGAATCTAGTGTTAAAATAGCTTGACCATATTGTCAGTTTGTGATGATAGTGAGAGGGCAATATAGTAATTTTATCCACCCTTGATGATTGTGAGGCTTCTCCATCCTTCTGAGGTGTACTTCTTGACTAGTATAAATTGGTAGCAGAATTTTAACTTCCTGAATTGACTTGTGTAATATTCCTGATGAAAATTATTCTGACTCCCTGTTTCAAAGCGACTTTAAAGATCAGCTTGAGAGCTTCAAGCAGTAGGTGTGAGTCAAGAATTTATATATAAAGTGAAATAAGAAGCATTAAGAAATTATTTGCTATAAGGAGTACCTGTAACTTTGCAATCAAATTTAGTTGTGGAGTTTTTGATAAATATCTTACATCATATGCCTAGGTGACCCTTTATGCGTAGCTCATGTGGAAAGGCATGACAGTGTATCTATTGTGAGTTATCTTAAGGGTGAACTATAAGAAAAACATTACTGTATCTGTGCAGAGAAACTGCTGGCTAACATATGTATGAGTTAGTTACAAGAGCTGTCTTGCTGTGGCACATCTTCCAACATAATTTGGCCATAGACATTTTGATCAATTTTTTTTACATGTGAGAGCAGTTGAGAAGGTAATCTTCTGATCCTGTATGACATTTTATGTTTTCCTGTGCCTGTATAAAGCTTAACTTGCAAATGATAAAATAGTGTACTGAGGCATGTAGTTTTGGTGCAGATGTAGAAGTTTGCTTCTGCTGATGGCTCATTGAATACACCAAAAATTCAATGAAGCACAGCATAGAGAAGTTTCTTGTAATCACTTAGTTAAGCAAATACTTTGTATGGGACAGTTTACCAATTTTTATCACCTGGTAAATGTCTTTCTGCAGATTTGGTGTTGGTCTTGCCATAACGGTGCTGCTCTTCTCAAAATGTCTGCATTTCCCAAAGAACAGGATGACAGCACTTCACAAACGCAAAAAGCCTTCTTGGATGGGTCAGTAATAGCTATTCTGTCCACAACACTTTGCTTGGTATGGACCTTGCTTCTCTTTTCCATATATGCTGTATCTTTAAGCTTTCACGCATCAGGAAACGAGTTCTAGATCTAAAAGTAGTTTTCTGTAGTGGAATGGGTTTAAGCCCTTGGCCTAACAGCACTGGTCAATTGTGCAGGACTGTAACATCACTGAAGGCTTATTTGCGGAAATACATGTGTATATATATCAGACAAATCTCTGTACAAACTGTGGTGTCTTATTAGCTAAAGCAGCATCAAAGCCTGTAGTCTTAAGTACAGTTAAAGTATTGTTAGCTGATGGGCTCAATTGTGTTTGCAAGTAAGAGAAATCTAGACTCCATCTCTACATGTGGATTTGCAAGCTGAGTTTTAAAACTGCTGTCTTCTGAGAACTACATTCATGTTCTTAAATAACTTTAAAGTGACCTAAAAATGACTGAGGCAGTCTAGCAGTTCACTACTACTTTCAGATGTGATGGCTGACAGTACTTTGTTTCAGCTGAGGTATTTCGGTTTGAACTGATTTAGTTCAGCAGTCTGAAAAATGCCAAAGTTAATGTAAGGGGAAGAGCACAGCTGCCTAGCTGAGAGTTACAGCAGGAACTTCTTGCTCCTTTTCTGGCTTTTTTTAACCTCTCTAGGAGAGAATTTCTCTCAGCAGCAAGCTATTAGATCAGGCTAATATGTACAGTTTGTACTGCTTTGCCACTAGCTCCTTTCTCCTCATAGGTGGAGAATGAGTTAATCACACAGAACTAACAGAAAATAGCTTGATTAGGCTCATAAAGCATCATTTGTTTATAAGACTATACTTGCATGGGAAAGGCTTTTGAGCCTTCCTACAGATTCTCTAATGTTTCTTGCCTGGAATGGGGAAGTTTACATGACTTATAACTCTTTTCAATACTGTTTCATAACATGAAAGTAAGTAAAAGTAGCAGTAAGCTGTAACAAGGTATCAACTGGTATTTTGATGCCTTGTCTGGAGCCATCTGAACTTGGAGCAGTATTGGTGGTTTTCTTTGCTATGGAGTAATTGTGGTTAACCACTAATATTCAAAAATATATCTACAAATTGTCCATTAGGCTCTGTTAACTTGCCATTGTAATAGTAGTCTGAACTCAAGCACACAGCAGATGTTTGTAACTCACAGCTTCTTTTATTGATAAAGCTGTTCAGAGGCAGATCTTCTAGCACAGATTGTTTACTTCAGTTTGGAAGAAGTACCATAATTGACAAATTATTGCTTTTCCTCAGTTCCCTTATCTGATGCATCTTTCAGTAGGTCTAATAACATGCATTTCTGATGCAGACACCTGTAGTTCTCACCTAAAGCAGGCCTCTCAGCTACAACATACAGGCAACAAAGTACTCTGTCCTGTTTGAGCAAGTGCCTGCAAGGCTTCCCTTGAAGTATGAGCTAGAGCAGCTTTTCCCAAATCATGACAATAAAAAGCCAGCCTGACAACAGAGGTATTTACTAAACTGATGTTCATCTGAGCTCTGGAGCATGAATGAGAGGGGGTGTTCGGGGTTCGAACCAAAGCTTTCTCTGGCCTAGTATTTTTTCCTCTCCTCCTAGGGAAAAATTTAGCAGATATGCAGGGAAGTACAAGGCAGGTATTTTGTCTTGTTTGACTTCAAATTGTTGTTTCTTTGTTAATCATGTGTTTGATTAGCTGACTTGGCAGCTAGATATCAGAATGTAATTTGATTTGTAAAAGTCAAGAGAAATTTTAAGTGTCTGCTGGGAGGTTTGGGTGTTTCTATCCATCTCTGCTTTCTGGATTCACCTCTAAATAGCCTGCTAATAAAGTAATTTTGGTGTGTCTAGTGAAGACAATACTAAAGAATCAGTAGTAAAAATCCAAGTAGTGCTTGTAATAGTCATAAATGCACAAATATGCACAAATACAATTTTATTGGTGTAATCATTAAGAGCAGCAAAACTTGTGTCATAAGCTTGTAGGCAAACTTCCAGCCAGTACAAAATGCATAGAGGCCATTAGCTTTCCAGGTTGTGTATCTTTTGGTATTACAGCTGTTGCCCAAACCATGCCTATTAACTTTGTCTGCAGTGATAATAGTTAGTGCATTATTTGACTTGTGAAACAGAATGCTTTAATCTCTTGATGATTTGATTTAGAATCTATAAGACCATTAGCAAACCTCCTTATGAACTCCTGAAGATGGATGACTTGTCAAGCAGCCTTCCATCTTTGCAAGATATCCAGACTGCATACACAAGATTTAAACAGCTGTTTTTGATAGGTAAGTCAAACTTTAAGGTAGTCTTTTTGTCTCTAAAGTGACTGAGATGCAAAGCATAACGATGCTGATTTATGTCTCATGAATACAGTCTTTGTCTTGATTGGTGTCTTGCTTTTGATGGTGGTTAAAAGCAGACTTTTAAATACATAACTGAAGACTGTGCTTATGAGTGGCATGTTCATGGAGGTTTGTAGTTCTTAGACTTACTACTTCTTGCTAAGCAGTCACAGTACCTGAAAATTACTTTTAAAAATAGCAACTATGGAGTTTAAATGTTAGTTGGAATACACTAGCTGGATTAGAATTTATGGGAAATATTTTTCAATCTTCTGTGGTCTGAAATTGAATATTAAGTGTTAACATTTTAAACCTTTGTGCTATGTCAAGAATTGAGTCTAAATGCTAGTTATTTTTTTTGCCCAAGCTTTTGTTACAACCTAGTCACATTTCAAAATATATGAAGTGTGAGCTTGCTTAAAATTCTGCCACTCTGGCTATAGGGATAAACATGACTACCATAAATAGTAAATCTACTTTGAGGGAGTAAAAATGGGAGCTATGTGAAAGTATAAGCTAGGCTTTCAGACTTTTTAGGACTAACTATTTTGCTGTCATGAAACTGTCATGAGGCCAGTACTGGGGCCTCACTTCTTGACATGGAAAAAGCTTCACACCACTTTGCATCTGTGCAGTGTGCCAGTGGGTCTTCTACAAGATAATGAGGGTAAATGTTACAATACCTCTGTCTGGTGGCGTGCTGAATGCTGGGGCAGTTCACCTGTGGCTATTGATGTTGGACATAACTGACCTGATCATCACTGAGGAACTGTATATTTGCAGTGTAGCCTACAGACAGTAACCACATCCTATTGGTATTTAGCTTGTAAGGTGGTATTGATTGCAAATTAGTATGAAGGGTTTCTGGCAAATATGTAGTAAAGATCTCAGTGACACTCTGAAGAGAAGCCCAAGATACATGAGGTATTTGCTAGAGTTTCACATTGAGGATTTTGTCCTGAATACACAAACCCACAGTGAATCTTCAGAGCTAAAAACACCTACCTATATTTTAATATAGTTTCTGGTAACTCTTATAGGGAAAAGGCTAAAGCTTCAATTTAAGTCATTTAACACCTCTTGGGATATACTGCATATTTCAATGATGTAATTGTATCATCTTACATCACATGAAGCAGAAGGGAATAGGTTAAACCGGCACTCCAGTAAGAGTTTTTGTCTTGCAGCTTTTTAAAGAAGCTTCGTTAGTGGACTATAGCTCACTTGAATATAGCATTGTGCGTTAGCAGTGAGAAAATCATTCAGTTAACTTTTTGCAGAAGTACAAATTGTACAGAAATTGACTACCTTACTAGTATTTTTCAAAGTCTGAACACATTAGCCATTATTTTTGATCTATATATGCTAGTTAATTCAATTTAGGTAACTTGAGATGTTGGTTGACGAGAAGTTTGACATGAGCTGTCAGTGTGCATTTGCAGCCCAGAAAGCCAACCATATTGTAGGCTGCATCAAGAGAAGCATGACCAGCAGGTCAAGGGAGGGGATTCTCCCCTTCTGCTCCACTTTTGTGAGACCCCACCTGGAGTTCTGTGTTCAGTGCTGGGGCCCCCAGTGTAAGAAGAACATGGACCTGCTCCAGTGGATCCAGAAGAGGCCACAAAGATGACCAGGGGGCTGGAGCACCTCCCCTGTGAGGACAGGCTGAGAGAGTTGAGGTTGTTCAGCCTGGAGAAAAGAAGGTTCTGGGGAGACCTTATAGCGGCCTTCCAGTACTTAAAGGGGCTACAGGAAAGATGGGGAGGGACCCTTTATTGGGGACTGTGGTTATAGGATGAGGGACAATGGTTTTAAACTGAAAGAGGATAGATTTAAATTAGATATTATGAAGAAATCCTTTACTGTGAGGGTGGTGAGGCCCTGGCACAGGTTTCCCAGAGAAGCTGTGGCTGCCCCCTCCCTGGCAGTGTTCAAGGCCAGGCTGGACGGGGCTTTGAGCAACCTGGTGTAGTGGAAGGTGTCCCTGCCCATGGCAGGGGGGTTGGAACTAGGTGATCTTTAAGGTCCCTTACAACCCAAACCATTCTATAATTTTTATGAACTTCCAGTGTAACTTAAATTTGCTGAACACATGCCCAAACTTAAGTTTCAGGTTGTTTTTTTTTTTTTAAAAAAAGCCCTATTAAGCAAAACAGGAACCATAGTAGTAGGTAACTGCTTGAAAGAGGATTGTGATGGGAACAGCTTAGGTCCTCTGAAATTGTTTGTCTTATTTGAAATGTTGCAAAAACATGCTGGTTTTGCTACATTGCTCACAAGCCTCATTATATGCCATTTGCCCACATAAGATTTTTAACTTTTTGGTTTTGAAGTGCTAGTGGAGTATTTCTTCATTGCCCTAAGACAAGGGCAAGGAGACAGGGAGGAAGGGAAAGCTTGCGCTCTATTGCGCTGTTATTAAGCAGAATTGCATCAGGAGTAAAAGGAGTAAAACAAGCTGCAAGTGTTTTGTTCAGTCTTTAAAAAGTTCCTGTTTTGTCTTAGAGATTACTTTGGCTGGTGGAGAACTGCCATAGCAAGTAACTGTTTGTAGAAACCTGCATATAAGTGGTTGAGTCTAATTTGGGTTGAGAACGATTGAACAAAACAAACAGCCAGCCACACTTTAGCTACTCAGCTTCCTGGAGTAAAACTCTTCTATACTGTCCATAATGTAAGAGAACTAAAGAAAACTTCAGACTGTAAATGTTACTGCTATAGATGAAAGCCTGTTATTTCTACAGGAAAAAAGACAAAAATCTCTTTTTCTTGTTGTCATGGGTTTTGGGTGGGTTTGAAAGACTAGAAATTGGTACTATAATGTTGCCTTGATTCAGAATGGACAGAAGTTTTTCCAGTAGCACTGGCAGACTAAATGAAATATGAGATTTGAGTGTAAGGGAATATTCTAGAACTTGAATGGAGGGAAGTAAAGGGTATCTTAAAGTACTGTAAGGTATGTACTTTAAAGGCTATCATACTTAAAGGTTGGAAGTTAATTTGAAGATATTAATCAGAAGATTGGAGAAAACTACATCTGATGTGAATAGAACTGACTAGGGAGCTTTGAAGGTGTCTTCTAATGCTTTTGAGAAGAACTCGTTTCTATGGCCAGGGTGAAATAAATCAGGGAAAGAAAGATACTTTATTAAAATGCTTAATGAACAGAATGAGGGGCATAAGCAGGCATGGAGACAGAACAACTACAGGAACAAAGTAGATATGTCCGTGCACTTGAGGATCATAGATGCAAGAAGACAAGACAGAAGTGAGTATGTGTTCAGATTAAACATTGGAAGCATATGGAGAGACCTTGGGAGGTGAAAATAACTTACACAGAAACATGCAGAACTGACGCTATTCAGGTGGAGGGTAGGGAAGGAGCTAAGTGTGATGTATCTCAGTTGTTTCTCAGTAGTAGAACTGTTGTAGACCTTGGGCTTCAAGGTTTGTGTCTTATGCAGGAAAGGTAATCTATTCTGGTTTTAATTGACTGTATCAGGTGGTGAGAGCTCTCTAGTTTCTGAATGTTGGCTTTGATAAAAATAAAAGCAAGAGATTTAGGTTGCATTTTAAAAGCTACAAAAATCCTAGTGGAATTCATAAGAGTTTAGTGACTCTGTGGTGTTGTACTTGGCTTCACAGTTTCTTAGCTATTCCCTTTTCATTGTGTTTTCATTGCCACTGAAGAGGCATTCAAACTTTAAAACCTTTTCAGGTAGTCTAACATTCCATAGATTTGTTTAACCTCCTAAAATGCGTTTGTGTTTGGCTCTAATGGTAATAACTTTCAAAATCCAGCCTCCTTATATTAAGCTTTATGTAGATCATACTTCATAGTCAAGGTAATGAATTTGGAAGAACCATTGCCTCTGATTAAACTTCTTTTCCTTTCCCATTTAAATCAACAGATTTATTTACTTGGTTTGGTTGCTGTGAACCTACAGCATACTTCTAAAAGCCTGTGGTGTTAAACTTAAGCTTTACTGGTGTTTGTAGGACTACTTCACTTCCTCATTTAGTTATAGGATGTTGACTTTAACAGTGAATAGAATTTACTGACTCCTTAGTATTGGTTGTTTTATAACAGTTTGTAACTGAGGAGTAATAAAATGGATGGCTGTTAATTAGCACTACGTATATGTGAACAAACAAATTTTTGGTTTTGTTTTTCTGCAGATAACAGTACAGACTTCTGGGCAACTGATGTGAAATGGTTTTCATTACTGGAGAGCACAAACTGGCTAGAGATCATCAGGTTTGCTATATCTGTAACTTTCTGGGCTTCAAATTGTGTTCAGTGCCTTTGTAGTGGGTTTTCTAGCTAATTTCTTGAAATATGATGACATTCTTCACCTCCAGTAGGAAAGAAAATTAAGACAGACTTATAGTCCCATTTATCTGTCTTATTTCTACAACTTGAGACAGTGTTTTTACAGTGCAGGCTTGTGTTAAGCCTCCCACAGTAAAGGATGTGAGAAGTAGCAGATAGTTCTAATTACAACTCTTCCAGCAAACCTATTAAAACTATAGATCCAGTAATGTCTTTGCTGCATTTAGTTGACTTCTTTCCAAACTGAAGAATCCTATTTGCTTCTTGCATGAAACCCATTCTGTGTCTCTGACTAGCTTTGCCGTTCTTCTCTACTCTCTACTTCTGTAATATCCTTTAGGACAGAATGAACTGCGGTATTCAAGATGTTAGCCCACCAAAGACTTATAAAATGACAGTTGTTATCAGTTTTGTCCCCTTCCTCTCCTGATTGTTCTTTTTTCTTCTCTCACAGTGAGTAAGTGTTGGAATGGTGTTGGCTAACTTAAGGCTTAAGTGGAATGTTGAGGGGTTTTACTTGGTTTTGGTGTTAATTTGTGCTAGCTCTGTTGTCTGCCAGTTTATTCTGTGATCAGTGTGTTACTATGAAGTTCTTCTGCATTCAGCTTCTGTTCTTTCTAGTGTTAATAAATATTGATAGCTATTCATTTCTTAATCCAGAATTTAAATGTGTTGAATGAGAGGTTCTACTGAAGATCATATGTTGAGGAATGCATTGACATAACCAAGATCACAAGTAGTTTAAAGTTAATACCAGTCCAAGTTCCTATCCTTATGTTGTTTTGAGACTGGTTGTTTCCATATTTGGATCCGGTTGCTTCCTGGATCAGCCTGTTCTTGGCTCGTGCAGTCAATAGGAATGTCTTTTTTTCAGCTATTCTAGATGCTAGAACAAAGAATCTGACAACTCCACACTTAGAAAATAAACTGTCAGCTTCTATTAGTGACATAAGCAGTTGCAAGAATCCTAATTTGTGTGCATGCTTTTGCTGAAAATAACCAACTTTATAAAAAGTTAGGTCTAGAAACCAACAATGTTACATCTGGTTTTATGTTTAATTCCATTCAGTCTCCCCGTGCAATAACAATCTCTGAATATATTGTGTCTGCATGTTTACAGGAGCAGATTGCTGATCCTTCCCTCTGACTCTTAAAACCAGATTATGTGAGAAATGTAGTATGTAGTAGATTAGAACATAAGTGTAGTGATGTTAACTCTTTCTAGGATAAAGATCTGGCTTTTAGCAGTTGTAATACTTTAGTGTGTGGGTGTGATGACTGCTGTTGATACAGAATGAAATACTCTATTACAAATGCATGAAGATAACAACTGGAAATTCATGACCAATGGCCAAATAAAGATAGCTCTTGAAAGTTTGTTCTTGAGGCTAAACAGTTTTTCGTTTACACAAGTTGAGCATAGCTTTCATTGTTTTAAAGGATTAGTCAGGTTTTGGTAGTATAGCATTCTGACCCCTTCTAGGGGAAACTAATGTAAGAAATTTATGAGTAAAAGTGCTATGGAAATGTTCAGTTATCTTTTCCTGTACCACAACAGGCGAGTCTTGAAGAAAGCAATAGAAGTTGCTGAGTGTCTTGAAAGACAGCATACAAATGTTCTCCTTATAGGTAAGAATTAAATGAGATTGTCCTGTACATTTTTAATTATGGTAGAGGCTGGTAAAATTGAGAGAGTACTCAAAATACCAGACAACTAAATCTTTTGCACTCCTGGAAATTCTTCCTGTACTTAAAAAAACATGGTAATCATAGTTCCAGGCTAAGAAAAATGTTGTGAATGAGAGAGCTGCTGATAAATTGGCAGGAGAGTCATGCTACCTCTTGCGTATGCATTCCTGTTTCCTAACTTACTTTATTAAAGGTCTCCTAGTCCATTTGCTGTACTTTAAGGGGGTGGGGGGCACACCTACACAAAGAACATGGAGCATGAAAATTTTTTTTTCTGTGTTCTAGATACACACTGAATACTATGTAGACCATTTATTAAAAATTCATGAAAGAATATGCTTATTGTACACATCTTGAGCAGTGTTTTCCTAGATTGAGTAAAGTAATCACATGAAAAACCAAACTCAATGTTAACCATTAAGCTATTTTGGATTAGTAATTCAGTTGGGTTTTTTCCACACACTGCCATTTGAGGAACATGTCACAGGGAAGAGATCTTTCTAGAAGGCACCTGAAAGGTGAAGAATGCATGTTGCATGAGGAGGCAATTCCACACCTTGTGACAAGACGGATGCAGGATAGGAGAGGGCAAGGACAAATAGCTGGCCCGGTAGCATAGGGCAGGAGGGGCAGTATATGCACTGTGGAGACTGAAGGGCATAGCCTTCAGAGTTACAGTAGTAAAAGCTTGGGTTTTGCAGGTTTTATTGTCAAAGTATTATTCTCGTATAAGTGTACAAGAAACATGACATTTTTACAAAGGGAGGTATTAGAAACATGGATTAACTTCCCTCTGATGGTGTAACACCTTGCTTCCCTGATCTTGAAATACAATTTTGTTTATGTGAAGCTAGCTGTACTTTGCTTTCTTTCTCAAAGTTTTAGGAATGGCTTAGTAGACAATGTAGTTTCTGTTCTTTTCTGTAGAAGAGAGTGCTACTGATCTGTGCTGTGTAATCTCTAGTCTGGTTCAAGTGATGATGGATTCATACAGCAGAACAAAGTCAGGATTTCAGAGCCTTATTCAGAAGGAGTGGGTAATTGGAGGACATGGCTTTTTGGATCGTTGTAACCACTTACATAAAAGTGACAAAGAGGAGGTATGATTTTTAAATTACTGTTCTTACTATTTAAAAGTTTACTTGGCATAAGGATTTACATGTTGGTCAGAAGTTCCAATTACTTTGATCTTTAATTTTATGTTTTGGTTTATGAGTTGGCTTTGTACAGTGTCACTATTTTTGTTGTTTAGAGTTCAGCAAAGTCATTGTAATAACTAAAGAGAACGAATGTAAAATTTCCTGTTCAATCTTGGAGTCTTATGAAGACATTATCTCCTGTCCTTTTAAACTTTGTTAAATGGTAGTAATGTCTGTAGAAATAGCTCAAGTGAATTGCCTATTCCTGTCACATCTAGAGTTTAACTTTATACTGTCTTGCTAGATGCTGCAGTCTCACCTCTCCATTTTTGTTTATATTTTAGGAATAGATCAAATTGCAATATAGAATGGAAATAGTAAGTGTAAACTGACTAGTTCTGATCAGGAATTTCTATAAACTCATTTTGCCAGCTTTAAAAAGCAGCATAGGAGCAACTTTCATCGCAAATTCAGAAAGTATTTCTCTTCTGTCAACAATTGGCCAGGGGTAGCTGAGACGATACTTCTGCAGAGTTCAGCCAAAGTTATATGCAGCAGTTCTGTAGTTAACCAGACAGTTTTCCTTAAGACTTATATTTGGAGACCTAAATACTATAAAATAAATAGTTTTCATGGTGGAACACTTTTTTTTCTGAAACTGATGAAGTATTTTCTTTACTTAGGCTCCTGTTTTTCTGCTCCTGCTAAATTGTGTTTGGCAGTTGGTACAACAGTATCCTCCAGCATTTGAGTTCACAGAAACTTACTTAACTGTCTTGTCAGACAGCCTCTATGTGCCTATTTTTAGTACTTTCTTCTTCAATTCGCAACATCAAAAAGACACTAATACGGTAAGGGTTTGTTGTTTTGTGGATGCAGTGTGTTGGAGAACAGGTTTGACCAACAAACAAGGAACACTCAAATTCCCCAGCAGCATGTTTGTCCATTCTTATTTGAAGGGTGATGCCTTGAAGGGTGAATGAGTGCAACTTTGGGTATAAGGAGTCAAGTTCAAAACTCAGGAGTTTATGATGATGAAAGGAATATCACTTAGGAATATGTTTTACTTCTAATGTGTGGCTACAGATCCATGTTTATTGCTCTTCAGTGAAAATGGAGCTCCTTAATCTAAGAGGAGTATCTTGCTGTCCTGCAGAATAAGTTGTCTACAGAAGTCTTTTATAGCATTTTCTCTGTATCCCAAAATCAACATTTTCTGAATGTTGATTTACATCATGCTTTTCTCCAGTCTAAGAAGCTGGAAGCAATGGGAGTATCCTCTGCAAGGCTGCACAGAGACTGAAAAAAACAAAAGTGAAGATCAGAGTCTTGCATATAAACAAAACATTGATGATAAAATTTCAGGTAGTAGCACTGCATAACCGCAGTTAACTTTTGAAGTTTGAAGAGGTTTAATCCACAGTTGCAACATGCCCCATGTGTTTGAAGAATTCAAGTGCCTGCCTCCTGCACAATTTTCAAAACTTTTTGTTTTTCCTTAGATTATTTAATCTGATTTTCAACAGTGAAAGGCATTCTTGGTAGTGTCTAATTCTGCTGTTGAAATGGAATGCTGTCTGAAGGTAGAGATTAATGCACAATAGCCTTTGTGTCTGTACTTACTTGCATCTAATAATGTTGTTCAGCTACTGAGTACATAGAAGTCATGAGTGTTGGTGCAACTCTGTGGTGTCTTCTGTGAAAAGCCAGTTTCTTAATTTCACCTTGACTTGGTAGAATTCCTTTCTAGCAGTATTAATTATGACCGGTTTGTTTTGGCAGAGTGGTGAAACCCTCAATACACAAAGTGGTCCTTTCAGATTTCTCACTGTGTGGGACTGGTCTGTGCAGTTTGACCCCAAGGCCCAGGCTTTCCTGAACAACCCTCTTTATGCGGAGAAGCCAAAACCAGATAAAAGTCAACGGAAAACTGCACGATTCAAAGTAAGATATGTGCTGTTTTAACTATTTTTTTTCAAAATGATAAAGTATGAGTTGTGAAAAATATTTTTAAATATAGTTACAGTGGAAGTATTGGTGCAAATGTTTTTTTAATTGACAAAATACATCTGTGCCTCATACTCACCTGGATCTTAATGTGATTTTCACCAACCTCAGTTATAAATCACTGTAAAACAGTTACTGTGCATAGCTGTGAACTTAGGGGGCTTTTCTTCATATTTTTGTGCAAGTGTGGTGATAACTCAGGGGACTCTACATCCAGGTGAGTTGCACTGACACGTTTGAAATGAGTTTATTTTGTTGTTCTATGGAATACCTAACTGAAATAGATAGCAGGTTTAAAATTGCCTCCCTAACTAATTGGAGTGTGTGGATGCCCTTGAAGGGGGAGGGGAACTGAAAACAACAAAAAATGTCTAGGGTAGGGAAAATTATGGGTGGACCGACCACCTTCTTACTGGAAATTAGCATAAATTCAGTAAGAAAAGTTTGTTTGGAGTAGCCTCTTTTGATTGTAATATCCCTGTTGGTTAAATTGTTCTGTAAAAGCATTCTCAAGTGAGATGCTGTCAGTATAATCTACAGCATTAATTAGGGAACTCTTATGCAGTGGGATGCAGTGAGGAGCCACTGGATAAAAACTTCTAAATCGAGTGCTTTTTTATTTGGGTGGCTAGCTTAAACTAAACGTGGAAGTCTGTAATACTTGAATGTATGGGAAGAACTCTCCTTTTTCAAAGAAAAATTCAGTGTTACTTCATTGCTATAGTTACAGTGCAGGGAAGGTATCTGGGAATACTAAGCATGCTGTGTGAAGTATTTGGTGTATTAGCCTTCGAGCAGTAACAGTTTTGGACTGTACAGCAAAGCAGTGGCTGTCTTTGCTTGTAAATATTTTCTGAATACAAGTTCTGTTTTTATTCCTCTTAAGATGCCTTCTAAAGTCCACCAATATTTATCTTGTGTTTTTTTTTTCTCCTAAAGCATCAACGGCAACTGTCTTTGCCATTGACACCAACAAAATCTTCCACTAAGAGAGGATTTTTCAGGGAGGAAACAGATCATTTAATTAAAAACATTCTGGGTAAAAGAATTGGCAAGTTCATAAACTCTTCAGATGAACCTTCTAATAGTTTCAGGGAATTTTATGATAGTTGGCATAGTAAACCTGTTGACTATCACGGTCTTCTGTTACCTCGCATCGATGGCCCTGAAATCAAAGTCTGGGCACAACGGTATTTGCGATGGATTCCTGAAGCTCAGCTTCATGGTGGTGGTACAATAGCTACAGCTGCCAAGATTTTGGACCTGATGGAGGAAGTGCAAAGCTTGCAGGTGAAAATGGATGAAGAACATAGTCAAGCTGTTTCTGGAGATGTACGTTCTGTTCCTCTGTTGAGAAATTCTGCCCGTTTGTCATCCTTGTTTCCATTTGCATTACTTCAGAGACAGTCTATCAAACCAGCTTTACCTACTAGCACCTGGAAAGACTTGGAAGATGAAGATGACTTGGTCAAAAGGGATGACGAATTTGTTGATCTAAGTGGTGGTATGTCATGAAGTGTATATAAATGAAAGTATGAATTGTATGTGGCTAAGCTCTGAGTTTAAAATGTTGTACTGTATTCTCATATAAGGAACTCAAGCATCTGCAGCCTGTTTAATGGGTTTGTTGGGTTAAAAAAACCACCTTGGTTGGAAAGAACTAGTTGTCATGATTAACTGAGCATATTTTGAACCTCCATTTCACTCTAACAATATTTATTGCAGAAACACATTTTTTTAGCATAGGGGTAATAAAAACAGAAGTCTAGGCTGGCGTAGCTACATGGCCACTTTGTTTAAAAAAGAAACAACAAAAAAACTATTTTCTGATGTAAAGGTGGAATACAAATATGTACAGCCGCAGCCACTATTTTAATGTAAATCCTCTTCCCCCTCTGCTAAGAGCACTAGGATTGGAAGTACTGTGACTAAGAATGTAGTATTTCCTCCTCATGTGAAATAAACAGGGAAAGGTGCAACTAAGTGTGCATTTACAAATAAGCTTTTTACATCTGAGGAATAAACTTGTCACCAGGGGTTTTCTGTCTACTGTGGCATCAACCAAAGTCATTGTGCTTGTCAGCTTCATCTTTTCTGACAGTGTTCATCTTTGGCTTGCAGCACTTCACCTTGTGTGGTATTATAATAGCAGCTTGACTGCTCTAAGCCTGTGCATGCGCTTAGCTTAAGGATCAGATGCAAGAGCTTAAGTACACATTTCAAGTCCTGCTGTGTGGCTGCTGTGCTGTATTCTCTTGCTGCCTTGGAATATGAAGTCCCAAATGTTTGCTGTTAATTGTGAGAAATAGCCTGACTGAGATTCTGATTTGCCAAGAGTATTTTTTCTCATTTTAATAGTGAGACTTTAATTTTTAACTTCCCCATTTATGCCAGTTGCCTTTGAGGCTTTCTGTAGCTTTGCACTGAGACCCTCCACACAGAAGGGAAGACTCTCTGTAATCCTGCAGTGAAGCTGGATTTGCAGTCTGTTGCCACTTGTCGTGAGTTGGTACAGCTTATGAATGTGGCGTTCATACCATATGAACACTTGCATCCTGTTGCTGGATGTTATAACAGTACCTCAGTGAAAAAAGCCATAAAGAAATGCCTGTTGACTTTGATCTACTGTGTGTATGTTTATATATAAAGTATTTTTACTGCAAATAATCTTCCTTTGTAAAGCTGAATATTATTTGACTGTCAAGTCTATTTTGAACCCTTAAATTCTAGAATATCATAATGGATGCAGGTCATAAGATCAGTTACACTGAGGGTAGACAGTGACTGTTTTCTCTGTTGTCCTACCAATTTAGAAATCCATGCTGTACAACTTAGCTGGTGGAGAAACTGTTGCTTAAATTGATCCCCTCAGTGTAATCGGGGATATAAACAGCGTTGCAGATTAATCACACTGAGTTGTATTAATATGTATAGCAAAAATTTATCAGCAGCACTCTAAAAATGTTAAAATAAGTGTATTAATGGGGAAGGGGGAGAACTTAATGAAACTATGCCAAAATGAAGCTTCCCAACTCTTGATTGCCTTAAGTCTTAGTAGTGCAAGGACAATACTTGAGTTTGTAGCATTTTCTTTAAAAATACACTAGTACTTATGCTTTATTCTGTGACACATATAATCTTACAGTTAGCCCTTGTTGGAATGGGCTGTCCAGCACGTGTCCTTCAGACTTTAGTTCAAGTGACTCATGTATGCAATAATACTTTGCATGTTGAATGACAAATGCATTTTTATGGTGAAAAAATACCCATCATTCTAAGGTCACTTGTGTTCAAGGGGTTTTTTTAAACACTGCCATTAGAGAAAAAATTAAATGGATTTTTCTATACTTTTGATCAATCTGTTGTAATGTTTCAGTCATGAAGATTACATATTTATGTTAAAGAACAGATGTTGGATGTCTTATGTGTACATAAGTTATCAGAAGTTTATATAGAAGAGAAACATGTATGTGGAATTGAACATGGGGATACTTCTAATGTAGAATAAATACCATTGTTACTAGTTTTCTGATCTGTGGGATTGGAAATGTACTTAATATTTTTATTCCAGGCTTCTGTTTATACCTCCCAAGTTTTTACACTGAATGCAAGCTAGAAGCTTTACAGTTTGGTGGGGTTTTCTTTAATACTGTCTTTTCTCTCTACTGGGCTGTTTGGAGAGTGTCAATAAAATATACTTTGACATATTTGTCCTGAAATGAGAATGTATGTTAATGTCATATTTTGCAAATGATGCTTTAAATCACACTTCACAGTCTGCAGTGACAAGACTTTTCTAGCTATATGCTGGGTTTGTACAGACTGTTGCAGGGAGGAAGCTGTGCAGTTTTGACCTGTTTGTACTTCTTGGAGAGATGCTGTCAGCTCAGGAAACAGGAAAGTTCAGTGCAGTAGTAGTAGGATGACTATGGAAAGCTAATAAGGTGGTCTAGAAACTGTCTGCTGAATGGCAGTGTAGTTTTATTAAAGTTTATTTTAGTCTTAGCAGTGTACTTGTCTTCCCTCATTTCAAGCAGGAACATTGTTCTTACAAAGTTGAACTAAGCAATTTCTTGAAATTGCTACAGCGGGGTAATTCTCAAACCAAATGTGTGTTGAGCATGGCTTGGGAGATGGTCACAGTAAGCCACAGAGTACAAATTTTAAACTTTTTTCAAATACTACAAATTACTGCTTCTGTACAAAACCAGCACTAGCACAAATCACACATTCAAAAATCATGCCATCTTCAGTGTTCCAAGACTGACAGATTTGTTCTTGAAGTCTCATAGAGCAATAGTGTATGCAGTGGCTGTGAAGTGCCGGGTCATGTTGTAATACAAGGTGGTGCCTCTGCCTCACCCACATCTTCTAAAGATCAGTGAGTGTACTTTGACCACTTGACGTTGATTTAAGACTGTGTTCACTAGTGAAAAAGTTCAGCTATTGGTCTATACCTTATTGGAATGCAAACATACTTTATAAAGGTATGTACAGCCAACTTGGCCTCCACTTAGAGCTTCTTCCATTAATGCTCAAAGCATGGAAGGTTAACTTCTTCAGGAGGTAGTAGAATTTTTTCTGCTGAGGATGTCTTACAATGGATTAGTTTAGTCACACCAGAGGATACCTTCATCCTGATCTTTAGCTGGAAACATCATGTGCAGTATTTACTGCCTGGTACTCTCTTGAAAAGAGCTAGGTTTTGCATAAAACACTATTTAGAAACTGTTGGATGGACTTAATTTTCTGGGACAGGGAGGAGATAGGTTAGTGAACCTGAGTCTAGAAAAAAACATTCTATAAACAGAACTATATATGTTCTTTCAGGGTGAATTTAGTGCTTGGGAGGTGGGAGGGGCAAACCCCTTCTCATGGTCTCAGGTCCTTTATCTTGTCATAGATCAACTTTTCTATAAATTAAATGCTTTTTGCCAGCATTTGCAGGAGGTCAGAACTCTTTCCTGGTGGGATAGAATTACCTTGGACAGAAGTGGACACAGAAGGTGAGGCTAGCTGACATCTGAGCAGGAGAAAATTTTGTGAGGAGAGCACCTCCATGTTGAATACAAAGGGAGTAGAAATAAGGTTGTTTGAGCTGTGTTAGAAGAACACAGCAGAGACTGGAAACAGTTCTCATTCCTGGAGATGCTTGCTTGGGATATAAGTTTCACTTTAAAGAGTATTAGCTTTAAACTAGTTATGAAGGCTGAGAAGAAGTGTAATAGAGGACTGCTAACGTTTTTGCAAGTATTTGTATGGGCAGGGGATTCTTGATGCTGTCACATTTTGGACTACTGTGAAGCCTTGTCTTTATGTGGAAACCATATGGAACAGTTAACACTTGCTTGATTGCAGCGTATTATTCCACTTCCAGTGAGCATTTGGTTTCTCAGATTTTTTTTAATTTCAGCAATCCAGTAAGGTGAAATAGGTACTTCCCTTAATGTTATGCCTGGATGCTTAAAGTAGGCAGATACCATCTACCTAGGAAGTGTGTTTGTTAATTTATTTTGTGAACAGCAGAACTATGAAGACTGATTTCCCATGGCATTGGCTTGTCTGGCCATATCACAGTTCCCTCAACTTTATCCTTCTGTTATGTCCTACCCTTGCTCATACCACAGCATCTTCTCTCCATCCATCTCCTCTCTGTTCTGAAGTCATGTGCTGTGTTAGCAGCTATGTTTGTCATTGCTACTAACTTGCTGGATTCAGTATCTCAGTTCCTGGGGAACCAAGTAAATGGACATGACCTGAGGTGGCCAGGCCATATAGTCTCCAGACTGCCTCTTGGAATCTAGTAACTTCTGAAATCTCTGTCTGTTGATATGATTAAATTATCTAGGGGTTTCCAAAGCTTTGGTGTGGGTGGGGAGGGAACTGATGATCTGCCTTGTGTTGTTCCTGAGAAAGTCAGGGTGGGAGAATTAACCCAAACCCCCCATACCTGTAGCTGAGGCATGATTCAAATCTGCAGTTTTCAAGCAGTGCTACTCCCAAATATGAAAATCTGCTCATTTACAGTCAGATCATGTATCCCAGTTTTATCTTCATGCAACATTTTTTTTTTCTTTATTTTGGACAATGTTTAGTTTTGTGTTCTGAAGTAAGCTTTTCTTATACTATAGGAGCCAAAATTCGGGCTAGGAAACCATTGAGTTTCCTGGAAATCAACTGACATTTGGTATGACTTATGAAAGGTCACATTGTTATTTTTATTCCCATCTGAAGAAAATTTCCAATTAAGAACAACTAACACAGCTAGACTTAATGTACAGTTTTGATAATTAATGGTGTAAATCAAGTATTTTATAAATACTAGTAACCTTCTATATGCTAGAGCTTTGTGGGCTCACTAGCTAGCTGAGTTTGCAGATAGTGTTTCACTTCCTTTTGGGTTTCTACAGGCATTGATTTAAAATATGTTTATGCATGAATGTGATGACAAAAGCAAATTTTATGCAAGTAGTGAAGTGCTCATTGCTTCATGTTTTGGTGATGATGCAAGAAGATATTTCAACTTTCACTATGACCCCAATTCAGAAATCAAAACAGGATGCTCCTTACCAAGGTCCTTGCATTCCCTACATAGATGAACCCAGTTTGTAGCAAACAAATACCTTCCTGCATTTTCCAGTTTCCCATCCCTGACTTTCCACTGTGGGTTTACTCTTAAAAATAAATAAATAAATAAATAAATTCTTTCCTGACATGTTTTTTTTAGTGGCTGTTTGTTTAAGTTTGAAAAAACTGAGTTTATACCTGCCATCTGTACTTTTTTCCTGATGCATCTTCCTGAGGTGGTGGGAATGTCTGAAAGCCAGATAAGTACTACAGATGACTTAACCAGTCTTTTCAAAGTACAAGGTCACTCTCTTAGCTGCCAGTATGGAGCACGGCAACTCTGGAATTTGTCCTGTAATCTTCATAATATTAATAAAAATAATTTTTTAGAATAAGTAAAATCCTCTTGCACAGCATTTTTCACAAAAACTGCACCAAAGAAAAGGCAGGGTGATAATCCCAAACTGTTTTCTAATTGCAGTCTATCTCCTGTAGCTTTCAGTACTTTGCTGTACTGACGCCTGCAGTGGAGAGTCATGAGTGACCTAAGAGCGATGGTCTGTTCTCCCAGCAGGGTATGGGTTTGGGTTACACCTGATGTGGGGCAACCACAGATGGCTGCCAAAGGGGGTCCTGCTGCGCGTTGCCCAGTGGTGCACTCCCACCACCTTTGCTGTTAGTCTCATGTAAGCTGCCAGCTGATTTTTTGAAAATACGTGGTTTGCTTTTGTGGATCAATTTTCTATCAATTCAGCTTGTTGATCCAAATCACCCCATGGGAGTGCAAGTGGAAATAACAGCAGCAAGTTGTTTGAGGATGCCCTTTTCAATAGGCAACCCCCAGTTATGCAGACAAGATGAAAGATAGAACCACAAGTGCAGTGAAATTAACTCTTGAGCTGCCATGTTGTTGAAAGAGTGAAATCCTGGGAATCACATCTAATGTGTGGCTAGCTGAAACGTTGTAAATAACATGCACAGCTGACTCCAGCTATTTAACACTTCTGAGGAGAAAAAAAAAAAAAAAAAGAAAAACCCAAACCTGCTTTGGTTTGATGTTGCCTGTAGAAGCCTTACAGTGTGATTTAAAGTATAGTTTCATTGGATCTGACCTGTTTGCTGCAGTAAGAAGGTAAGGTAAACAAAAACAGATAACTCCATGGCCTTCAAACACATTTTGATGCTCTTCAGGCCTGTAGTTCCTTAAACTGTGCTTTGTTTTGGACTGGCAGAGTTTTTAAATACCGTCATGTGCCTGGGCTGTGATTAAGCAGTGATTGAGTGCGGCTGTTGAAAAGCAAAAATCATGTTCTGACTTGTAATCTGGAAATAACCATTGCTTGGAAAGGGATTTTGGATTCCTGATGCATTTCTGCTTTTCTCCTCTGAGCTTCAGCCATGCATAGTTAAGCTGATTGGCTATACACCCCCCCACCCCCTTTTTAGCATATTTTACTTACTTACTTCTCATTTTTATTTAGATTTAATGCAGGTTATGTGCTTTGTCCATAAACAGCCCATTAAGATGGTTGTCTCAGGTGTAGGATGGAGCGCTCTCTATTCTGATTGAAACCTCCTAATTATCCAAGGAAATTTACCCACCTAGTGTCATTTCTAAGGCAGCGGCCCTTTTTATGACTCAGATTGCAGCTGAATAGCTATCTGGCAGAGATTATGATAAAAAGGGCTAGTTACTGAAATGAAATACAGTAATAGTAAGACCATTACTTAATGTCTTGGTATTAAGTAGAGGCTGCATGAATATGCAAAGCCTCTGGAGTTTTGCAGGTAATAATGGATCTTGGAAACAGCTGAAATACAAATACCAAGGTCCCAGACTCACTTAGGCAGCAGGAAATTACTGAACATAAACATTTCTTCATAATCTTTGTATCTTATTAAAGTAATAATAGCCCTAGTGGTGCTGGCTGCTGACATTAATATTCTGTCTAGACTGGTAGACCCTTCCCCTTCTTGAACATTTTACCTCTCAGTTATTAACATACAGCCTGCTGCCAGCCAGCTCCACCCTCACAAGGCAAATGTCTCCCTCGGTGGCAATGCACACACAGAGGGAAAAGTTGACTTTGCACTTGTCAGAGAAGCATTGTATGTTCCAAAGCCAAGAAATTTATTTGGAAAAGTTATATTTAGTTAGTTAAATAATACCTGCATGTACCAAACTGGAGTTGAAAGGGTGATTTTAGTCACAGAACTGAAAAGGATTTCTTTAATACACCTGAACTAAGTGAGGAAATGAGGATTAGCTCTTATTTCCACGGACATGTAGGGGAAAAGATACACTGTATTGGGTCCAGCAGGTTTTCCCCTGCAGCCAGTGGATGTCCACTGAGGAGCACATCTCCACCTGCAGCCCGGGGAGGACCCCACACCAGAGCAGGGGGATGTGCCCAAAGGAGGGTGTGACCCCGTGAGAAGCCACACTGGAGCAGGCTCCTGGCAGGACTTGCGACTCCACAGGGGACCCACGCTAGAGCAGTT